GAGTGAGGCACACATGACTGCGGTGATTGGCGTCCGTAAATAATGTGACGCAGCATAAACGCGTGCCCGCTTCCAGAATGTTACGCGGAGTGGCACATAGTGTCCAGATAGATGGATGAACCATTTTTATCAGCAGAGGATCCACACTGCAGTACAGCACAAACCTCGTTCGGAGGAACTCTATAGACGTTTTCTGTCATCTCTAGAACAGATCTCGTCCCCGAACGCAGAAGCTCAGGAAATTCCGATTAAAAATGTAATTTCCAGGGTCCCAGAAGTAGAGAAAAACACAGGGTTCCACTCTCATCACTTCCTGGTCCCAAATGGACCGGAAGGATGAGATTCATCTTAGATTTGTCAATTTTGAACTGTGAGACAACATTTCCATTCAAAATGCATCGAGTCGCTCTGTAGCTGCCACACAGAGCAGGGAGGAGAATTCTGCTTCATCTGGACATCTGTTGCTGCTGATCCGCTTTTCCAGACAGGTGGCAGCAGTGCAACTCACGTGAAATCGGCAGAGTGATAACAGCTGTTTCCGTCAGCAGACTTAAGTCACACGTGTCAGACTTCACAGAGGCACATGCATTTCTTGAGCTGTGGGGGCGCTGTAGCCACCCCACACAGCAACTCGTATAAATGTTTTTGGAGTGTCACGGTTTTTGAATGTGATTCATTTCATTTAGTTTCATTTATTTTGTGAACAAACATGCTCCTTTTCGTCAATTCAGAATAAAGGGACGAGACAGCCCCTGGTTTACTCCAGAGCTAGCTGACCTCCTGCACAGGAGAGATCATCTTTGGGCCACAGCGAGAAAATCTGACTCAGACACTGATTGATTGAGTTTTCGACAGATGAGGAATAAATGCACAACTGCTGTCAAAGCAGCTAAACGCAACTATTTCTTATCTCAGACCTCCAAAAATCTAAATGACCCAAACAGATTCTGGAAAACCATCAAATCTCTCTCAGGCACCCCCCAATCATCTGACCTCCCATCACAACTTCTCATTAACTCTGTTCCTGTGTCAAATAAGCACAAGATCCTGAACTGTTTCAACAAACATTTTGTTGCTTCTAGTTCTTTATTTGACACAGTTACTAATGGAAGATCAGCCACTTCACTTAATAACCAAACTTCTACAAATCAAATCCCTCCTACAAGTCAATCCTCAGTTAATCACAGCTTCTCTTTTTCTCCATTCTCAGTCAGTGAGGTCAATAAACTGTTAAAAGATCTTGATCCTAAAAAATCTGCAGGTCCAGATGAACTTCCACCTTTTTTCTTAAGGCTGGCTGCTCATATCATCACAGTCCCTGTGACCCACATCTTCAATCTCTCCATAAGACAAAACTCCATCCCAGACACTTGGAAAACAGCCTTTGTTCTTCCTTTGCTGAAGGGAGGTGACCCCACCTCACTTAACAACTATGGACCAATCTCTAAACTCTGCATTTTAGCCAAGGTTCTAGAAAAACTGATAAACTCTCAAATCAAAAATTACCTGGACTCATTTAACATCTTACATCCACATCAATCTGGTTTCAGGAAACAACACAGCACAACCACTGCTTCACTGAAGGTTCTTAATGATGTTGTTGAAGCACTGGATGCTAAGGATTATTGTGCTGCACTTTTCTTAGACCTGTCTAAAGATTCTGACACTGTGGATCAGAACATCTTGTGTCATAAACTCTCAGAAATCGGTTTCTCAGAACACACTATTGGTTGGTTCTCTAACTATCTCTCAGACCGGAGGCAATGTGTTCAACATAATGGTACTTCCTCCAGTTATTTAACAGTCAACAATGGTGTACCACAAGGCTCAGTCTTAGGACCCACCCTCTTTACAATCTACATACATAATGCAGGTAAAAACATCCCTAATGCATCCATACATTTCTATGCTGATGACACAGTTGTTTATTGCCGAGCTAAAACTGTTGCTAAGCCTTTCCAGCTTTTGAAATCTGCATTCAACTACATCCAGACAGATTTGTTCCGCCTCAAACTTGTCCTAAATGCCGACAAAACCAAAGGGATGCTTTTTTCAAATAGGAAGTTGGTCCCAGCAGTTCCTCCTCCGATTTTATCCTCAAATGGTGTCCCCATTGAGTTTGTCGATTCCTATAAATATTTGGGTATCTTGGTCGACTCACATCTCTCTTTTAAGCTCCATGTGGAAAACTTGATAAAGAAATTGAAAGTTAAACTGGGTTTCTTTTTCAGAAACAGATCCCGTCTAACCCTGAATGTTAGGAAACACCTTGTATCTGTGACTTTCCTTCCCTCCATTGATTACGGTGACATTATTTACATGAACGCTCCTACAAGAACCCTGCAGATGTTGGATGCTGTCTATCATGGTGCACTAAGATTCATAACTGGCTGTGATTATCGTACCCACCACTGCTCCCTGTATTCACTGGTTAACTGGACATCATTAACTTCACGCAGACTCTCTCACTGGTACATTTTCATCTTTAAATCACTTCTTGGTCTGCTGCCTTCATACATCTCCTCCTACATGTCTCTGCGTGAGTGCAGTTGCGGAGTGCGCTCTCAGGACATTATTACCTGCAGTGTTCCCTCAGTGAGGACTGAACTAGGCAAAAGGACCTTCTCCTACTCCGCTCCTGTTTCCTGGAATATCTTACAAAAAGATTTGAAGCTCTCGACCTTGACCTCTCTAAGTGTCTTTAAGAATCTGTTGGACTCCTGGCAGGGACCAATGCAGACATGTTCCTGTTTTTAGTTTTATACATTTGTCTTGGAATCTAGCTGTTTTTTTGTTACCTTTTTCCTTTTAGCCATCCTATTTGTTAAAAAAAAAACAAAAAAAACTGTAGTATGAGTTTTTATAACTGCTTATTGTTGTTGCTGTTGTCCATTGTTGTCATCTTTCTTTGTTGAAATCAGGTCTCGTAAATGAGTCCTCGAGGCTCAATGGGATTTACCTGTATAAATAAAGGTTGATTGATTGATTATTTACATGAACGCTCCTACAAGAACCCTGCAGATGTTGAATGCTGTCTATCATGGTGCACTAAGATTCATAACTGGCTGTGATTATCGTACCCACCACTGCACCCAGTATTCACTGGTTAACTGGACATCATTAACTTCACGCAGACTCTCCCACTGGTACATTTTCATCTTTAAATCACTTCTTGGTCTGCTGCCTTCATACATCTCCTCCTACATGTCTCTGCGTGAGTGCAGCTACAGCGTGCGCTCTCAGGACATTATTACCTGCAGTGTTCCCTCAGTGAGGACTGAACTAGACAAAAGGACCTTCTCCTATTCCGCTCCTGTTTCCTAGAATATCTTACAAAAAGATTTGAAGCTCTCAACCTTGACCTCTCTAAGTGTCTTTAAGAATCTGTTGGACACCTGGCAGGGTCCAATGCTGACATGTTCCTGTTTTTAGTTTAAATTTGTCTTGGAATCTAGCTGTTTTTTTTTGTTACCTTTTCCTTTTAGCCATCCTACTTGTTAAAAAAAAAAAACCCTGCAGTATGACTTTTTATAACTGTTTATTGTTGTTGCTGTTGTCCATTGTCGTCATCTTTCTTTGTTAAATCAGGTCTCTCTTGTAAATGAGTCCTCGAGGCTCAATGGGATTTACCTGTCTAAATAAAGGTTGAATGAATGGATAATTCAAAGTAGTGCAAAGGCTGCACTGGTCCAAAGACAAGTTGTCCAAGATCAAGGCTGACCTGGACCACGCTTGCAATCACTGCAAACTCCAGCTACACTCTTGATTACATTCTGGACCTGTCCCAAACTAGAGATTTTTTGGCAATCTATATTTGACACCATCTCTGGAATATGTGGCAAAACTGTACAGCCGTCACCACTCATCTCGCTGTTCATGGTGATCCCTGTGGATTCATCCTTCAGTAAAAGCGAGAAGAATGTAATTGCCTTTGGCTCTTTTCTGACCAAGAGGCTAATTTTGTGCAATTGGAAGGACGCACACCCCCCAGCATATGTACATTGGATAAGGGAGTTGACATCATATCCATTTAGAAAAAAACAAGATAGCTTAAGGGGTCTGTCAAAAGATTTTGGGACAAGTGACAGCCTTATGTTTATGTGGTAAACTTGTCAGTGCCTGTTTAATTTATTCATGTATGTGTGACTGATCTGGTGTGGGAGGGGTATCTTTTTTGTTTCGTGTTCTTTGTTTTGTATTATCAAAATAAAAATTTTATAAAAAGACTGTTTAAAATAAATCAAAATGTAGAATAAGGACATTTTCAGAATTGAGATTAATTTCAAAATGTATACTTTTATTAGGACTTTTGTATTTTTCAGCTTTGGTCAACATCATTGATGAATGTATCATTTTAACAGCCATAATGGGGTACATCTATGTTTTGAAGTCATGTTTGAGTTTGAGCAGCCATCTTGTCCAGCAGCAGAAGAGGTGCAAAATTTGGTTCTTTGATATGGCCACAGATTCACTAATTTACCCTTACTAAGAGGCAGTATGTCCAAGAGAACAACAGCAATTCTCTTAAGTTTTCTAAAAACTGAAAACTATCTGCCCTTTTGAGAACCAAATCATCTAATCTATCAGGAGAATCCAAGAGCTGCATGTGGGTCTGGTAAGACCAGGACAGTGAAAAAACTTTCTGAAAAATGAGAAGGGTGGAAAGACTGAAGCAACGTCTTAAGAACTTGGACAAAAGTTAGAATCAAATCTATCAGTAAAAAATAAATGATTCACAGTATAATAGACATTTTTTTTAAATCTTTCTTCAAAATTAACATGAGCAAAAAACAAACAAAAAAAAAAAACATTCAAACACACAATCTGAGGATATTCTCCACACAAAAAAAAAAATAAAATAAATAAAAACAAACAAACAAAAAAAAGACGGCAATGTTTTTCTAATCAAAAGGGTTTTGCCAAGTTTCATACAGCTACGAATTGTTCTAGTGTTCAAGACAAATCAAGAATTTACTGAGTGAGCTGCAGTAAATTGATTAAAAAACAAACCCATCATTAAAAAAATGACTAAACAGGCCTCTCTGTGGGCCAGAATCTGTTTAATCTCAAATACAGACATTTCAAAACTATTGTTTTCATCTTGCATTCAGCACTGGCAATAAATGTTACAATGTGGAAGCCGCGGAAAAAACAAACAAAAAAAAGTTCTACATCGATATGATTTACCGTGTCTTTCAGAACTTCCTAAAGTTCTCACAGCATTTTCTGTGGATTTTAGTTTTACAGAACCGTTCTTGTCAACGACTGGTTCAACAAAATGCACATATTTCAATAATTCACGTTATAACATGGTCATTTGGGTGGATCCCCCCCACCCCTCTGGATTTAACAGTACCGTAATGTTGACTTATGTGTCAGCACTGGGATGCGCTGACCCAAACCATCCACTCCACTAATCCTGACACAACCAGAGACCTGGACTGTGGCCTCAGTTTGATTGTGAACAGAAATCCTTCCTTTCAATACGATTTCAATACAGCACATATTCAGGGTTCTACTTTTTTCTTTTAAAATTTTTCTCTTTTTGTTTTCTAAACAAATAAAATTTAAGTTGAACAGTCTCACATTTAACACTCATATCAAGACGGGAGGTCAGCCGGCAGAGATGTTACAGTGTTGGGGGTTTGAGCCCATACTTCCTGGCCACTTCAGTCTGAGCGTACGCTGCGTCACATAATGAGTACAAATGGGCCATCTCCATCTCAGACTTGGCCAGGTTGATGGCTTTGTTGAACATTTCTATTGCCTTGTCCAGATTTCCCCTGTAAAGAAAGCACACGGGTCATGTAAAGCACTTTAAGAAGCAGACTAAAAATGTTTGCTTTTGTTACAATTCTTAAATCACACCTTTGGACTTCAATGGTTCCCATGGTTTCATATGCAAAGTCACATTTGTTGTCAATCTCAATGGCCTTACTGATGAGCTCTAGACCCAAGTCGAGGTCTTGTTTCCACTGAAGCTGCAACAAACTGGACACCAACTGAACAGTTACCAACATGACTTGTCTAATGAACTGAACACATAGAATCAACATGGTACATGAGGGCTGGCAACTGAGCAAATACTTTGACCATCAGTGACAAAGCAGTGTTTCCCCTACCATTATACAAGCACGGCGCCCCGCCCCGTCAACAGAACCGAGCGCCCTGTCTACCGAACCCCACCCCCAAACACCTGTCGGCACTGACGTAACGCTAAACTAGCGGCTCGCAATGCAGGTGTGCTAGCTAAAAAGCTAAAGGAAGCCTCTTCCTTCATGCTGAACCCTCACGCTGAATGCACCCCCGCCACTCAAAAAGATGTGCGTCTTTCCTCCCTCCCCCCAAAAAAAACAAAACAAAATTGTTGGTTCAGACAGCGCACAGCTGAGATGTCTCTCCTCTCCCACACCCTGCTCTAAAACTGTAAAACTGTCGATGCAAATGTAGATGAACAGATGCTCAGATATATTCATCATTTAACACGGATTCCTCATTTTTCTGGACTGAATAAAACGTGCATTGAATTTAAGGAAATGCAAACGTGAGACGTCATTTATATTTGACCCATCAAAATGAATGCGGTCATTTATTTACAGAATCAAAATTTAACATCAAACATTTACATTAATTTGGCAAATTATGAAAATAACAACATAAGCAATCAATCAGGAAAAATCATACGGCCATGATTTTTCCGTTGCTTCACCACAGACATTTATGAAAACTGTACAATTATGATCTTTTACCCACATGAATGTGGGTGAGCATTTTACACAGACATTTCTAAAATATCTGGAAGAATTTCTACTTGATAGAAAAGTTTAAAGATGGAAAGAAGTTTAGAGGGAGTAAGATGGTGTGTGAGGGGTGAAATGTGTTCACCAGAATCGACACTCTCCGGCTTTCTTCAGCTTTTCCTTACAGTACACTTAGGTGATGAAATCGGCTCCTTTACCTGGAGATGTCTCAGGTGAGATTCCGTTTAACGCACCCTTTCAGCGTCTCAGTAGGATGCTGTTACTCGTCCGAAGTAATGGCGAGGCTCTGTTCGACACATATTCACCTCAGTGGAAAATGTTATAATCCCATGGAACTCGGAAGAGCTCTGTTGTCAGGATCATCCCGTCTCTCACAGAACTGGTTGGACTGTGTATCCAGCAGAACTCCAACAGCACTCCATCAGAACTTCAACAGAACCAAGACCGAGTAGACCAGGAAGTACTGACATTTTAAAGAGCTGTTTCCCGGTTCACTTTTGGGATTTGTTCATTGGTCAGAAACGACCAGACGGGGTGTGTTTTGTGACGTAAGAGGTTAGAGACAGCGAGAATTGTTATGAAACAGATCAGAAATGTTCTCACAGACAGAGAGAGTTTTGTTTTGGCGCTGTTTCAGCAACAGGTGCCAAAACTTCTCTATTTACGTCTGAGAGGATTCTAAAACATGACAGTTCGTTCAACAACTTGTTTTTCGTTTGACTCCAACCTTGGAAACGCACACTTGCTCACTCAAAGGCAGAAATCAGAAAATGCATAATTATTCTGTTACAGCTTTGACATGAGAATAAAAATCATTACACAGTTAATAAAATTGATTAGTTCACTGCCACATCTAAAATGGTTTGAACTAAGACACTTTGATTATCAACATTTGTAAAATAGTAATGATAATAAAAAGAGAGTGTTCTTTTCACTTGAATCTTCAAGAAAGAAAGTCTCAGGATGGGTGAACCTGTATTTCTGAGTTCAAATCAATGAAATGACAGTTCCTGTCCCACAAGGTTCTAAAGGTCAAGAGTTTTGACCTTAGACTTAGTTTTTGACATGGGCCTAGTCCACTACACAAACAGTGCGCTGTTGTCTCTGTGTCCCCCACTCCAAAACTGTTGGTTTAAACAGCGCGCTTACGCTGTGTCTCCGTCCGTGTTAAGAAGTCTAGTACCCAGTTGCAAATGGAGGGGCTTAGACCTAGTGTTAATAGTTTGTCCATCAGGGTTTGGGGGATCATGGCGTTGAAGGCAGACGTGAAGTCCACAAAGAGCATACGAGCGTGGTTTTCTGCTCCAGGTGGTTGAGCACAGTGTGGACCACAGAGGAGATGGCATCCTCTGTTGATGATGTTGATTGAAGTTAAGCTCATCCAAACAGTCACAACAACTACTTATTGCTAAAACAGTGTAGAATTAAAATGTATAGGTTTGAATGATGAACTACAAGTAGGCCTGTCGCGATAAACAAAAAATCAATTAAATTATCAACCTCACTTTCATTTACCGGCTTTATCATTTCTTCGTGTCTCTCCCTTTCTACTTGAGACACAGCTCAACTCTGGCGCTCTTGACTGACCCCTCCGTTTCTCTTTAAAATCCATTTTAACCGTCCAAAATCGCGTTTTTGGATCATTAAAAGCAGCTAAGCTGAGAAGCTAAGTTACGAGCTAAGCTAACAGGCCGACCTCGGGAATAAACCTGTCTTGTTGAGCTCCAAAATTCATGGCTGAAACCCGTGCCTTTGTGTAAAAAGTTTTTTCTTTGTAAAAAGCAGCTGAGAACTTGTTTACTGATTTTTTTATTAAAAGCTTTGTGTGAAAAATGCTACGCTAAAGAGCTCAAATCACTGAACATCCACCATGTCAGGCCATGTCATGTCAAGGGGCCTCCCTCCCATTTTTCTAATAGACACGCTGCTCAACTATCCATCCTTTGGTTCTAACAGTCTTATACTGCCATCAGGTGGTCAAAAAAGGTACTACACAATAAACAAATCAAATTTTCTTCTAAAATTTGACAATAATTGTTAAATTTCAAACAATACTATTGTTTGTTATCGTAACAGGCCCAACTACAAGCACCTGAAGCTGACTCTCTCACAGAGATAACTTGGTGAGTTTAAGAAAAAAAAATCGTCAACACGTGAACATGTACAGTGGGGCAAAAAAGTATTTAGTCAGCCACTGATTGTGAAAGTTCTCCTACTTAGAAAGATGAGAGAGGTCAGTAGTTTTCATCATAGGTACACTTCAACTATGACACAAAATTAGGAAAAATAATCCAGGAAATCACATTGTAGGATTTTTAAAGAAATTATTTGTAAATTATGGTGGAAAATAAGTATTTGATCAATAACAAAAGTTCAGCGCAATACTTTGTAACATAATCTTTGTTGGCAATGACAGTGGTCAAACTTTCCCTGTAAGTCTTCACCAGGTTAGATGAACACACTGTAGCTGGTATTTTAGCCCATTCTGCCATGCAGATCTTCTCTAGAGCAGTGATGTTTTGGGACTGTCACTGGGCAACTCAGACTTTAAACTCCCTCTACAAATTTTCTATGGGGTTGAGGTCTGGAGACTGGCTAGGCCACTCCAGGACCTTGAAATGGTTTTTAAAGAGCCACTTTTTGTAATCCAAGTGGTGTGTACAGGTCTCTCTTGTAAATGAGTCCTCGAGGCTAAATGGGATTTACTTGTCTAAATAAAGGTTGAATGAATTCTGTTTTTTTTTTTTTCATATGTCATTCTGTTTTTTCTAATGTGATTCAGGCCACTTCTGCTTTGGCTTAATGTAATTCCGTTTTTTCAAATGTAATTCCGTTTTTTCAAATGTAATTCCGTTTTTTCAAATGTAATTCCGTTTTTTCAAATGTTGTTGTGATTTTTTTTTTTTTTTTTTCAAATGTAATTCTGTTTTTTTAAATGTTGTTCATTTACATCTTAGGGCCACCCTAGAAAAAGGCATAAATTAGCACAACAAAGTTGAAATTATCTGAGAAAAGCCATAATTTGCCAACAACAACTGAATAGTAGCTAAAACAAGAAAGAAGCTTAAATTACCAGAAGGAAGTCGAGGGGATCATGTTTTTGCTGAATTAGGCTGAAAAATGTTCAAGTGATTGCATAAATATGGAATTAGCTGATAAAGATGAAATTAGCATTAAAAAACTAAATGCTAGCTGAAATAGCAGAAATAGCTGAAACCTACAGAAATAAGCAGAAAGGAGCAGAATAAGCTGAAATTAGCATAAATAAGTTTGAAGAAGCACATAACAGCAGAAAAAAAAACTGAAATTAGTTGAACTAGCTGAATTTTTCCAAAAATTTGTACAAGGAAGCTGAAAGAAGGTTAACCGGACCTAAATGTAAAAGTAGTAGTAAAAGGTTGTACACAGATCAAAAGTTATGAAAGATGTAAAATGAGCTCAATTCATTGTCAATGGGAAAGAAAATGGTGGAAAAGGCTAAATATCTCAAAAAGCTAAAGTTGCACCAATACCAAAAGTCATAGCAGTCATGTCCTGAAAGAGCTGAACGTTTCGATATATGATTTGTTGAAATAACACAAAAACTGTGGTAGTAGTTAGATGCCGAAAAACGTATGGAAGAAAAAGGGAATCTCAATAGTGTGAATGCCTATATGCCTATAGGCGTTCACACAAAGAGAACAGTGAGAAAATGGTATTATCAACAGAACCGGTTTCTTAAAAGAAATACCACAGCTGCAGGCACGGAAAAATGGTTGAATGTTCTACAAGTTGGAATGTTTTACTAATCAAAAAAATTATGATTTTTAAATGAATATTAAAGAAAAGGTAATTATATGTGATTAAAAACTTGTGATCAAGTTGAACTGACTGTAGTTAAGAAAGAATCTATCTAAATGTTAAACTGTGGGATGGCTGACATGGACAGAACATGGACAGAGTGTTCCGAGAACAACACCCGTGACTGTTAAGTTAAACTGCAATAACCCTCCTTAAGCAAGAACCGGGTGGTGGAGCTTGTAACAGAGAGTTCCATAAAAGGACAAACTTCCTGATCACAGATATTTCTTGGAACTGATAGTTCTGAGAAAGTTAGTTTGTATAACAGCGTAAAGGACCAATCAGAGGGTTACAGCAGATGGTTAAACCCGTAGAGGCAATACCTTAGAACAAGTTCAGACTTGTGTGAACTGGTTTGGGGCTGGACTCCGCTATAAAAACATTTCACAG